AGAACCCAGATAGAGAGAGAAAAAAAAAAGAAGAGGAAGAAGATAAAAGGAAGAAGATAATGAATTTTTGTAAATTTTTGTTAGAATTTTTACAAATTTGATGATTCTCTCTCCATTGTTTCAATTGATGCTTGCTTTGTCTTTGCTCTTGCTCTTGCACAATCTTCTTCCTCAGATATCCTGCTGTCCAGCGACCCATGAAAAATGGGAAAGCATCATGGCAGCGGTGGACCATTTGAGAAAATAGGGGAATGATCAGATGTCCGCAAATCGATTGGAACTACCGAGATAGGAAAGGAGAAAGAGAAAGAAAGGGCTGGGTGCGTTTGGGCATTAACGACAAAGTAACGGAGATGGGTGTGTGTAATGGAGGGTGTAACGGAAGAGGGTAAACGTAGCTTTATCCTTTAAATAAACTCCCTTAGGAAGTAAGGGCACTTTATAATGAAACTTAAAATAAAGAAAGCACTTCTATAAAAAATAAAAAAAAAACTTTAAAATGTTTTGAGAATTTCTTTTAACCATTTTAAAGTAAAAGCTCTTATAGGCTTTCAATAGATTCATTAAGATTAAAAGTTAAATAATTTTAATATAAACATAAAAAAGGAGAGAGAGAGAGAGAAATTGGGTAAAGGTGGTATACAATAATAAATGAGGATGAAAGAATGATATCGAGGGAATAAAGATAAGATGAGAAAGATTAATAACAAACAAACTATTAATATATAGAGAAAAAATAAAGGTAAATATAGAGCATATAGAATATTTTGATAAATGAAGATTTAAATAATTAAGAAATAATAGAGATGTGAGGATAACATGATAATAGTAGAAAAAATAATAACAAATAAATTACTAATAAAAAGAGGAAAAATAAGGAAAATAATGTTGGCTTATACCTTATATTGGTTAAATTTTATAATTTGGATATGTTTATAAATTTATTGCATATATTACTGAATTATTTGTGTTTTTAATATGTCTATATGTTATAATGATATTGAACAAATATAAAATATCTAATGATAAATAAAAAGAGAAAAATTGAGTAAAAAGATTTATAATGATAAATAAAGATGTAAATGATGATGAAGGAATAAAAATAGAGTGGCTGATAAGGAAAGAAAAATTAATTACAAATAAATTATTAATATAAAAAAAAAAGTGAGGGTTGATATAATTTAAGTTGATAAATATAATGAGAAAACATGAGAGGGAGAGTTAAAAGATGGTGTCGCAAGAAAAATAATGACAGGTGGAGTAATGACACTAAGTAAAAAAAAAAAAAATATATATATATATATATATACACAAATACTAAAATATTTTGCCTTTAATGTTTTGATTTAGAACATGTTTAATATAAGGATAATTATACATACAGCCAAACAATTAACACACATCTCAACACCCAAGACTTATGAACAGTAAAATTACAAATTTACCCTCCTCATTTTAGCTTTAAATGTTGAAATGGGTGTTGATTGTTTGAGTGTATGTATAATTGTCCTTAATATAAATAAATGGAGAGAGAATTGAAATAAGAAAAGATATATAATACATGTGAGTATAACTAATAATAAATAAATTATTAATATATAGAAAGAGAAAATGAGAGTGTATATAATAGATAAATACATATAATGATATAATATGT